AACCCAAACACAATTTGAGCTATTTAGTGTCGTAGACGCAAAGAAGACTGTAGGGTCATTCTGCAAGTGTCTTGTCAAGTTTGTAAAATTTTAAACTATCAGGAAAAAGTCTGTTTAAACAGTGTGGCATCTCAAACTAAATAAATACGTATTTTAGGGTATGTTTTCAATGGTACACTCAGCAAAAATATTTATGCCTGAATTTAAGATTTAAGTATTTGAATTGCATATAAAATTCCATTTAAAAGGTTGTAACATAAAATAATAAACAGAATGCGATGCATATTTTAGTCATGTAAATGACTGGTAAGAAACAGGTCAGTTTTTCCACTCACAATAATCATACTTTATTATTGGCAATCGCATCTATTTGATTTGATTTATATTTTCAGCACTAATTATACACAATTAAAGTGCATTATGTACAAAATTAGTTGTTCCAGTTTAGCAGACTTTAAGTATACCAGTTTAGCATACCAAAAGTACAACTGCACAAAGTACAAATATGTAAATGTATTTGTAGTATACTTGGCATGTACTTCAAATACATTTTAGTATATTTATTTTTCACTAGGGAATAGCTGGCACAAGGAATATTAAATTACTTTAAATATATGAGATGGAAATATTTTTCATGTATTGATGATAAATGTATAAAGCTGGTTATTGTGTATTTAAAAGACATTCCATTTATTAGTATTATACTGTCATAATCTTGAATGTTTCTTTTACGTACGCATCTCATTAAGTTTATTAGTTTATGTTAAAACTGTGTTATCAAAATGGATGGGAATTTTATATGCATTCCAAATACATAAATCCTAAATATGCTTTTAAGCGTAACAAGGTTGACATTTAAAATATAAGATTAAGATTATAAAAGTGCAAAGTATTTTATGCTAATATGTCAAGCAATATTATATTATGTGATTTATGTGTTGGTTGTAAATATTTTCACATTAGATGAATAGTTTAACCAAAAATGAACATTCTGTCATCATTTACTCACCCTCAAAAACTGTATGAGTGTCTGTCTCCTGCTGAACACAAAAGAAGAATGTGCTTGTTCCTATTGACTTCCAAATTACCATCATTCCAACATTCTTCGAAATATCTTCAGCAGAAGAAAGAAGCCCATAAAGGTTTGGAACAACATGAGAGTGAGTCGATGATGACTGAATTTTCATTTTTGAGTGAACTGTCCCTTTAAATAGCCATCATGGGAGGAAGTTGCTTTTTGGATCCAGTTAGCAGGTGCTAGCCGTTAACATGCTAACCTGCCAAACGTTGACGTCTTGAGTAGACCACACAGAAGCTGTTCTCAGATGCAATGCGAGATTTAGTGTACCCATATAATCCATATCGCTCTTATGCTACATTCCAAGTTCTCCATGAGGTGTGGAGTTAAACTTAAATTGTTATTTACTGAAAATCCCATATTTAGGTTTGACGTCAATGATTCGTGACCATCACTGATGTCAAAACTGGTGCAACACGTCTCGACACGTGTAAATTTCCATCTGCTCCTCGACACAATGCTATCCGGAATATTGTCAAATGGAGTACGTTAGACACCCAATTCAAAGAAAATCCAGTACTACAGTATTTTCATTTCAGGGTGAACTATTCGTTTAATTCGGAAACTACAAAATAAAATTAGCTGAAGAGGGAAACATCTGTGGATCCTAATGTGTGTGATTCATGTTATGGTTTCAGCTCTGATATCCATGAACAGGTCAGTGATGTTCCTGCACTCACAGCACTCCCAGTACCACAATCATCCCAAGGCTTTAAAAGAATTTATGAATGGACACGACTCACAATGGCCTGTGTCGACCAAAATGCTTTAACGGCACGCCCCAGAGATCAGTCATCGGGCTAAATTAGTTTCTATGGGAACTGTTCTAAACAACCATGGCTTTCTGTATAGATTGTATCCGATAAATAATGACCTAAACATGTTGAATCAAGACTCGTCTAAGAGAGAGTGGTGATTTAATCCGGCTATATATACTATGTCTATAGTGTCTTACAGCGTAGCACTTAAGCATTTTAGGGATTTGACTGTCCCTGTGTCAAAGTTCACCCTGACATTACAAGGTTTTCTTGTCGTCCTGCAGAAAACGTGTGGCTTCAGAAAGCTTAGTGAATATCCACAGAATTGCAACGCCCCTCATTTAGCTGTAAACGTCCTTCAGCCTTATGTGTTTGTTTATTCAATTATTTCATACACTGCAAAAAGTATTTTTGTCTTGTTTTCCGTTACAAACATCTAAACATTTTTAACTCAGGATACATTTACTTGAGATGCAATATTCTGAAAATGGTATCAAAATGAAGTGAGTTTATGCTTAAAACAAGATCAAATACCTAACAGCGGGGGAAGAAAAAAATCTATTTAATTCAATAGGTTTAAAGGGACAACAAGATAATTTATCTCACAGCACTGGCAGATTTGTTTTTCTTGTTTTAAGCATAAACTCACTGTATTTTGATAGATTTTTCAGAAAATAATAATACTTGCAATCTTAAGTAATTTTTATTCCAAAGTAAATGCATCTTGATTTACCAATTCTTTGTATATAATTTTTTATATTTGCAATACCTTTCATCTACCAATAAAACTACTTTTCTCATGGTACGCAACACATTTGATCATATTTAAATACACATTTTCATAATTCCTCATGTTTCTTTCACAGAAAGTGTGAAAAAGTGTGCAGATTCCAGTCATTAATGCAATTAAGATTTGTTTTTCGAATTTAATTTAAAAAACGTCACAAATTTGCTTATCTGCTTATTAGTGATTTAGAAATCTTACATATTAAATATAAAACATAGTAAAAATACAATAGTAATATAAACATATAAAAAATGTTCAAAGTCCTAAAAAAAGTTTACATTTGATTTTGAATCCTAGACTTTTATTATGGGCTATTTTTGTATTCACCTTGTTTTTAACGTAAGATAACTTGAATGCGCAAGGCTTTGTCGCTTCCCGTTAATTTACCTGTACTAAAACAGGCTGTTATGCTGCTTGATTTTGCACACTGGTATTTGTTAAATTAATGTATTATTTTAATCATAAACACAGTGGTTTGTGCACTGTAAAAATGATTTGATCCATAAAAACGAAAATTTTTCTGCTTCAGAATTTCATGTTTAATTCAATGTGTTACTGTTTTTTTGGAATTATTTATGAATTTAATCATTTCTGAGTGAAAAGGGTTTCTACAGAATTTCACCATAGCACACATAGTTTTACAATTTACTGCACTTATTATTCTTCTAGTTATTTACTTATAGCGGCAGTTATAGGAAGTCTTGTACATTCATGGGAAATTCACGGGAAAAACACAACACAAAAAGGACACCGTCACATGTTCCAGATCAATGATATGGCTTCAAAAGAATTTAAACATTTCCTGATAACTTTTAAACAGTTAGGGGAGATATATACTTTTTAAAGAGGAATTTCCTCATTTGTAAGTTGCTTTGGATAAAAGCATTTGCTAAGTTAATAAATGTACTGAATTTAAATGAGATGTACTGAAAAGATCTGTTGAAGGTGTTTTAAAAAGATGTTTTATGAGTATGCAATATATAACGTGAAATAGTGAATAATTTCGGGCAGCTCTCCAAAGATTAGTTAAATTAATAGCAAAAATACACATATTGTGTGAATCCTGCATTGCTCATAAAAACCTGTAAATTTTTTGGTTTCGTGCTGTTCACATGACAGCACTAAAACAAGTTATGCAACAAGTCTCTTTCACGTGACCATAACGAACTCAAATTTAATACCTAATAATATATTGGAGCTGTGACACTTGCACATGCAATATTATAATGCAAACATAAAATATAATATATACAAAATATATTACAAAGATTAAATAACATGTATTTGTTTAGTTTTTATCAAATTTCCACGCTTAATATAATAGTAGTTAACATAAAAAAATTTGACAGTTCAATACCAAAGAAGACCAATTGCAATTTGTTATGCAAATATTGTGATGATGCCATCAAGTCAAATGGAGAATCTCAAACTTTTACGTCTTAAAAAGTCTAGTGTTTGCCAAGAAAAAAAAAAAATGGTACAAATGCAATTTTTGAAATTACAAAGCCAAGTCTGACTTTGTTTTGGCTGAATTAACTGAAGTGAGATAGTGTATGATGGTCACTGAATCCATCAAGGATTATATATTGATGCACTAAATAAACTAAAACTAAAATGAAAACAAAAACTATATTAGACATTTAAAAACAACAAAAACTAATAAAAATGTCAAGAACGCACAACAATATTGCAAAAACTTTAACTATAATTAACATGCAAGCAGAAAATATAAAAATAAAATTTAATTCAAGATATGAACAAAAAATTGCAGTGATAGCAAAAACATTTTTTTTTAATATATTTTGAGAATGATTTTAAAATACACCGTTTCATTTGTGACACGTCTCCTAGTAAAAACGCACATATTTCTGCATGAGTTTGTTGTAAACGGCTTTAAAGTCTGGTAGTGTGTGATCCTCAGTTTTTTAAAACCTGTTCAGATTTTAAAAGTCGTGTTTATTCCAGCCTTTAGGGATTTAGAACGACCCCAAACCACAATGTTTAAGGAATATCAATGCAGCTCGGCACTACAATTGAGAAATAAACAAATTAGCATGACTTTGGCAGGACTTTACAGTTTTGTTTACATCTCTAGCATAGCCCGATATCCAGGCTGAAGGTAAATGTCCACAACGGACAGGGGGTGGAGCTGGTGTGTGTGGTATAAAGAGGGGTTGAAGCACTTGCCATCCGCCCTCACAATACCCCCACCGCACACCCTCCCTCTCCTCCAGTCAGCCAGCCCTTTCTCCAGCTCTCCAGCAGCACAGAAAACTCATCTCTAACTGTCAGACACTCTCCTCTCGTGGAGTGGAAGTAAACACTGTTGAATTCAGTTCAGTTGTCAGGGCTGCTTCATTGCGTGGCGCACCAGGGAGCGGACGGGACACGTCAGACGGTCGCTGACTCTGGGACCATAATCTCCATCCGTAGTGAGGCGTGGGGCCCACATGGCGTATTTGGAGATTCAACTCTGAAGAGTGCCGGGATTTGTGTTTTAGGAGAGGTGTTCACGCAGAAGGACGGTTCGTGGCAATATAAAGAGCATGGTGGGATATTGGCTTCTGTAGGGACTTGCAGTCAGCTTTTCTTCACTTTTATGAATCATTACAGAGGAATCTGTTGGATAAACATCTGTTTGAAGCTGTTTTCCAAGTGATTACTTCTTTCGGAGTTGTGTATATAAAGGATGTAAGACAAGGACCTGCACAGTAAACATTTAAAGAACTGCACATGAACAGCTGCTTTTGTAAACGAGTGCTTCCAAATTCTTAAAATCTATATCTATATGTATGTATTTTGGTGAGTTATAGTTTGCAGGTGTTTTGAGTGACAGATGGTTGGCATGTCCTTTAATCACTCGCTTTTGTGTGAAAGTGTAATGCTGGCTGGGAGAACAGCTAATGGGTTTCTATTCGCAGCGCTCATTATTTAAGGCAGGTTGCTCATCACAGTACACATTGAGATTCACACACATTCTTCAACATTTATTTTTTCCGCACTCCTCGCACTCATTTTATGAGGCTGGTTACTTCAACAGTGCAGATTGCGAGGACATTTTTTTCCTCTCTTCCTGTTTTGGCAAAAAGTCTCCAAAGTTTAATGCAGTATGAGGATATTTGGACATTTTTACACCTTTGGCATCCCTGGATTTCTGGAGGATCCTGTAACTGAGGAATGCAGTGCGTATCCTGGACGAGCCTCTGATTTTTCATAAACAGAAACTACAGCACTCCTTTACTCTTCTAAAGAGAAAGGGTTGGAATATCGATCAATGCCATTTTTACCCAGAGGTCAGCTGAACAGACGTGCTGTGGAGTCTGGATAAGCCGGGCAGACGGTAAGAACACATCCTGCTCTCACAGCTTAACTACAGTTTAAGAGCTGAGATTTTCTCAAACACAGTAATGGGCAAAAATCTTGCAAATAAATGCAATGAGGTGTGTGCAGCAAGGCTGTAACATGTTTGTTTAGTACAATTTTAAAAAACATGCTAAATAATAACAGTTACTCTTTACGTTATGGTGCCTTTGTTAGTGGAATTTTACATTTAGTAACGTACTTACTATAGGGTTAGGAAAAGGCTTTAGTTGCATGTACTTATGCATTATTTACTGTTACTGCAGTGAGTACATGTAACATGTAACAAGGAAACTGTGCTGTGAGGATATATCACAAATTCACATGGCATACGTTTGTGCGTTCAAAAACATTTTGATGGAGTGCAATGGGATGCAGGGGTTTCATAAAGTTTTTCATTTTTGATGCTTAACTTTTAAAAGACGCATTTTAAAGCATATTAGAGCATTTTAGAGCATTTTAAAAGACGAAGTGCTCATGGTGTAAGAAACTGAAAAAACAACAAAAGTGACGCAGACGGACTAAAAAAAACAGACAGAATACAAGAATGCACTCTCTGTTATGTTTTTAGTTTTTGTTAATATTTTAAATTAGATTTTATTTTTATATTTAGATTTTAGTTCAAGTTTAATAATTATATTATGTTTTTGTCACTTTAATTAGTTTTTGATGTTTTGCTTTCATGTTAATTTTAGTTCAAGTTTAATAATTATATTATGTTTTTGTCACTTTTATTAGTTTTTGATGTTTTAAAATGTGTCTATATATACTTTAATTTTTGTCATTTTCAATTAATAATGAAAACGAGAAATGTTGTCTTGGAAACTAGCTAAAATAAAATAAGTTAAATTTTTTTATATTTTATTTCAGTTTACATTATTTTAAGTAATTAAGTAATTCATGTGATTTCTTTTACTAGTTTTAGTTAGCTAAAATAATCCTTCATGTACAATGATATAGAAATAAACAATATAATAAACATATTGAATGCCTTACACATTTGCCAAAATGATGCCTTTAAAGTATCTCTATTCATTTCATATTATTTATATGAACGTGCATTCGGTGTTGGCAAGAGCCACTTACAGACAGGCTTATTTGAGTTTCTTTTGCCATCAGAAGATGCCAAAGGAAAGAGAAAGTGACAGATTGAGGTCTGTCATCTGCATCACTCCTACTAAAGTGCACACAGACATGAACATCCCCGAATCATCATCAGCTGTCCTTGCATTTACATCAGGCACAACTTGTCCTTTCACAAAAGCACTAACATGTTCTGTTCTTTCTAAAAGCCCTGTTCTGTACTTTCAGCACTATGAACTGAATGGCAAAAGACAAAGCAGCCCCTCTAACGCAATGGTTCCCAACCCTGGTCCTGGAGGCACCCCAATACTGCACATTTTGCATGTCTCCTTTCTCTGACACACCAATTTCAGGTCTTGGAGTCTCTACTAATGAGCTGATGACCTGAATCAGGTGTGTTTGATTAAGGAGACATACAAAACGTGCCGTGTTGGGGTGCCTCCAGGACCAGGGTTGTGAACCACTGCTCTAACCCATCTCTTAGTTCCTCTTTACACCTGGTATTAAGACTTGTCTCAAGTGGACAGATTAGACAAGTCACCATTTGGACATGGTAGTGTTATGCATCCACTTGTGAAAGGATTGAAAAAATATGCTTTATATTGTTTCTACTACACTATTTCAGGCAAGTCCCGCTGCTTCATCCTCTCAGACATGTGGTTACGCTCATTCTTTTCAGTTCATCATTCAAGCTTCATCCACACAAAAGCTTATATTCTCCCATTTTTCATAACTTGAAGCTGACATAACATTTGTCAACTTATATCATTGTTCACAAACAACTGTTCTGACTCCAGAAAATGTATTTTCAGTCTTGAAATTAACCGAACTGCGTCTGAACAGATCCGTATTTGGCACCCCAAACAGGACTGACAATGGTATTGCGCAGCTGTGTGAACCTTAGTTTGCACTGATAGTGAACCATGTAATTGTGTGTGCACTCCTTTGGTTTCAGTTCAGGACCCATTACATTAATCGTTCATAGAAAAGCCCAACTGAGTCATTTAGGACTTCAACACAGCTTATCCATCACTACCGTCATCATTATCTGGATAAAACAAATCTGCCCAGATATGTTTATGACGGTCTGCCAAAGGAAACACAGCTTCACCTGAATGGACGTCCCTTCAGAACATGGAACAACTACAAAATTACAAGCCCTTTCAAACAAGGGTGGCTATTTCTTTAGCACCAAAAAGTAGGACATTTCCGTAAAGGATTTAGCACCAGAATAAAAACTGAAAAATAATCTAGTGACAGAAATGTAAATGTAATTTGAATAAATCAAATCAAATAATTATCAACAAAATCCATCTTTAATTCAACAAATTCTATCAAAATAGTAAGATATGATATGAAAAAGATAGGCTATACTAAAAATACAAAAATAATATGCTAAAATAATAAGAATAGTACTATAGAATAGCATCTAGTTCTGACATTTAAAAAATGTGCTAATATAGCAAGGGTGTAAGTTTGATTTTGGCATTGGTGGGGCATTGGTCGCTGGATATTGGTGGGGACATGTAATAGCGTCTCTACCAAATTCTACACCCTTGAAAATCATAACAAGTGATGTCTGACTTTGGAAACTATAGTTTTACTCAAAAAAAAAAACTAAAAAAACATGGTTACTATAGTAAAACCTTGCCAACCACAAATTAACCATAGTTTAGCCATAATTTAACCATGGCATTTGAAGTAAAACTCTAGTTATACAAAAAACATGGTTACTACACTTTTACTATAGTCAAGTGTGAGGAGAATCATTCATTAACCCGCTCCGAAGTTCCGATCTAAATCAAACGATTCGCGATCCGCACTCCAAAGTTCCGTTCTGAATCAAAAGACTCACGAATCGGCTAGGAAGTTCCGATCAAATGATTCGCAATCCACACTCCGAAGTCCCACCCTGCATCTCAATGTTCATACTATCCATCCTAAATAGTATGTGAGATTAGAATAAGTGTGTCCCAAAGCATAGTATGTTGAAAAGAGTATGCCAAAAGTCCCCGGATGGTCTACTATTTCAGGTCGATTTTTGAAGTGTGGATCCGTGCACACTCTAATGGCTAATATTGCCCACAATCCATTGCGCTTTGGTGAAGGATTCTGTCCAGAACTACAAACACGAATAAAACGCGTAAAAAAAAACTACAAACATGGCGGATGTGCGAGACCGGCAGTTAGGTAGAGAGGCTTAGAAAAAGGGGTTTGAGTTACTAATATTCAACATTTAACCTGGTAAAAAAATATTTATTTAATGTTATCTGTGTTATATTTCGGTGACAAGATGACTGACGTCATCGTGTAACAGGTGCGACAGAGCGTCCGTTAAAGACGCAGTTGTGTGACGTGATAGTATGTCCCAAAGCTTGCCTACTCTTCTACTACACACTCAAAAGTGTGTACTTTTTCTTCACCAAAAGAGTACATACTTTAAGGGCGTAGTATAAGTAGGCACATTGAGACGCAGCACCAATCTGAATATTGATACGTGAATTATCATTACAATTCAGGACTCGGAGCGCAAATCATTCAATTCCGATCTAAATCAAATGATTCAGGATCCGTGCTCCGAAGTTCCAATCTAAATCAAATGATTCAATATGCTCCGAAGTACCGATCTGAATAAAATGATTCGTGCTCCGAAGTTCTGATTTAAATCAACTGTTTCACGAACCTGCTCCGAAGTTCCGATCTAAATCAAATGATCCGCAATGCACGCTCCAGTCCCGATCTGAATCAAAAGATTCACCAACCCACTAGTCCGAGACACGTTTTGAAGTCCTGTTCTGAATCAAATAAACACTCCACGAAAATTATATGCTAAATCAGTAAGATTAGTACTAATTCTAGTATTCAGTTTAGCAGCTATCTTTGTGAATGGCCTATTGAATCATTGACTTTCTCAATTCCTTCAAAAACGATTAATCATTCTGATTCGAATCAGAAACGAAGAACCATGTTGATCAGAGAAGCAATGCTTGCAAAATAGTCTAACAATATTGTGTTTAAAATGTACATCAGTTAAAATCAGATTGAAAATAACATTAACATGTTTTTATTTATTTGTATGATTGTTTAAATTCTATATAAAATGGCGATAAAAGGAGGATAAATGAGCGTCTGGTTCAATATACCTACATTGCATTTCATAACCGGACTATCCGACCTAAAATCTTCACTCCAATAAATTCTGTTCTGTGGAAAATGGCCATTTGTACATCAATAAGACTTTAATTGATCACATGGGCATTACCGTTCACTAATGCCTGTCAATGATCATTGAAAATCAGCATTAGACCAAAATCAGAAGGATAGCTATTCACTTACATTTAAATTAATCATTTGGTACAATGCAATTATTGTGTACATACATGTTTTTACATTGTACTTATATTTTAAAAATGCCTGCATGTAATTACATCTGTAATTAATTTCTGTAATTACATTTATAATTACACTGTTGACCCATCCCTTACACCTTAAACCACCCTTAAACCTACCCAAACCACCAAACCTGTCCCTAACCTTACCCATATCCCACCTCAATAGCAGCAAAAGTTTTTGCAATACAATATGAACACAATAAGTACATTGTACTTATTTTTTGATGTAAGTACATAGTAGTTAAGGCCACTTAATATAAAGTGGGACCTTGTTATTACTAATTCAATTATAGTACAAAAGTTTAAATAAATGAAACAATTATAAAATAATAATTATTTCAATAATCGTTAATATTCTTTTATATTCAACCCAAATAATTTATAGCTCCCACTTCCAGGGAAGGCTGCTTTTAATCAGTCGATTGATGTGGACAAATGAAAGCAATCACCTAAAGGCACTGCAGATTTTCCTGTGTGCGTTAAGGTCCATTGAGAGTTTTTAGTG